CCCGCTAGCGACTTTCTAGATGGCCGTAAATACAGCAAATGTTTCACTTTATAAACAGGGTTTTTAAACAGGAAGAGAGGGATGCAGTCACCTCATTATGGTCAAGCAACATTTTGGAAAACTGGAAAAAGTTCGCGCGAAGGTGTAGAAGGTCTTCTTAAAGGAACTACACGGTATTAGAGCAGTAGGAAAAATTCACAAACCACTAATCAAAGCCCCCTTTCCTACAGACTACCGTTGGAGGCCACATCAATGTGCATCTCTTCATTCACTTGCTCCTGTGGAGCAGGATACATCGGCCGTACAACGAGACGCCTGGTAAAGAGGGTGCGTGAACATATGCCCGCCTGGCTAGGCAGAGGTGAGACCCGATCGATTTCGAGTTCTATTCTCGCACATTTAATCGATACGGATCACCGAGTCGATGCCAAGGAAGCATTTCAGGTTGTCTATCGGACACCAACAAGCTTCTCTAAAGGCCAACGCCAACGGATACTAGCAACGGCAGAGGCAGTGGCAATACGGCTAACGAATCTGGTGCTATGCTGTCAGAAAACCCTGACACAAGCGCTCTCTCTGCCGTGGCCAACGCCAACCTCACGTGATGACGACATGCCACCTCAAATCCCTGATTACAGTGATGGGTACTCCGTGTACTTAATCCAAGAGCATCACTCAAAAACTCGCTTACCCCCCTCCCCCAGCCCTAAGGACCAAAACCCCCCGACCTCGTCATGCGGGCGGCGTGGAAAAGATGAGTGTTAATGACATAATTGACCTTTAGACACCTATAAACACTGTTAATTTTGTACACTTTCACTCCTTCATGTAATTGTATTGGCCTGACGAAGAATTACTGAAAACACGTGTTAGCCAACTTGACTTTTCAAATGATAATATTGTTGGATTTTGGTGGAGCAAATGGCAACAGGAAAGGAAATGTCAAAAAAAGACAAGGTAAGGTAGTAAAAAACAGAATTTTGTTTAAATACTCTGCTGAAATTTCAAAAAGCACCGCGAAGTCCAAAAAAGAGATGTCCTGGCAAACTCTAAACTAACAGAAAGCTCAAAATTCTTCAAAATTACACGGGTGTCGTTTTGCTGGAAATCAAAGGCCCCCTGAGGGCTAAGGAATAATCGGACGTAACCCAAACCTAAAAAGCGACCCCGAAGGCAGTCTTGTTGGCTTCATCCTCTTCCTGGCATAGCTTCTTGTAAGGACGCAATTAGAAGACTAACCTAGCGCGGAGATACTCTAGCTCAGACTCTTACCCTAATCGCAACTCCAATAATTACTCTAAAATTAACCCTAACGCTTAAACTAACTCCAGATCTATCTTTAAAACTAGACCTTCCACCTGCCATAATCCCAATCCTGGATTGTTACCCCAAACCCCAGCCAAGATATCATGAACTTAATCCAGCCCGCACAGCAGCCTTAGAACCGTCTGAATGGTGATAAAACTCTGATTAGCACGTCTATGCCCTTACCCCCCTTCGCACCTTTACACTTCCCTCTAATCCCTCCCGCAAGCATAAATCCCATGGTCTTAATCCCAGCCGCAGAGCAACGCTTACAGTAACCTGAAGACCGATCGATTGGGTTCTATTTCGATATATTAAGTGCCTACCTAAATCATATAAGCAGCTAACTACACAGTAATAAGCACATGGTCTTACACACTAGATCCTTACCTCCTGGGCGCGGGCATAGGTATTTCTCCTCGGAATTAGCGCAAGGCCAAATGCACTGCTGGGGCGGGGGTTCCTTTTGTTCTCTCTTGGAAAACTCTCCTCACCCCAACAGGTGCCATGATACTAGTTCCCATTCTGTTACCCATGCACTGTCTCAATCGCGAGAAGAGACTACTTGTGACATATCGTTGCCCACGGATTCGTGCCTCTTTGATAAAACAAATCTTTTCCTTGAAATAACTACTAACAAGTTTCCCTTTTTGATCAGGTTTTTGTGATTTTTCTTATATCTGTTATTCACAATGAGGATCTAGTTCCTCATAAGGCAGTTATGCATTTCACACCCAAGATCTCAGCACTCTTAAAATTTTCACGCAATGTGCTTTACATAAGTGAGCATAAGGGCTTAGCGGTTCGCTCCATGCTGACTTAAATAGATATCCTGACAGCCAAAAATGACTGAGATAGAGGAAAAGTTGCAGAAACCTACATGCTCAGGTTGGCATCTCATGGGTGTCCAAACAACATATTTCAAAAACAAAAACATAGCTTTTCTTGATCCTACATTTGAAGCATCCGCCGTTCATAGTTGGGGTAGGAGGCGCCATTATTCGTAGTTTTGGCTTCTACGATGATGTTAACCCTAGGAACCTCAGAGTATCGAGCTAGTAAATCCTAAGGCAGCGATGATCTGTCCTTTATCAGATGTGGTGCATTGTCTGGCGTCCGTTTTATGTGGGTTGGGTGGGGCCACATCTGCCTCGTCAGTCGACGTACACGCTGCAAATAACACCGGCGTTTACAGCTGCAGTACTATGGCCAAACCCTACTACACAGACACCGATCGATACTGAACAGGCTAGTTATAACGCAGTCTCGATCGTGAACAGAGTCGCCATCTTCACGGTCTCCCCATTTCTCACCCATCCACACTTAAGATTAGGCTTAATGCTCGACTGACCAACTCCCAAATCCCACTGACAACAAGGACACCAAAAAGCTGCATTACAGCCAAGCGGAATCTATAGGACATCTGTGACCTCTTAAAGTCAACGAACGTGGAATGCAACAGAAAGAGAGAGAACAGTAGATAAACCTGAAATTACGCTCAGCATGTACCAGCACGTCGTCTTATAGCCCCCCCCCCAGTGACAGAAGAAGGTTAAACTCATTACGTTACGAGGTAGGCAGCATACTGTGGACGTCAAGCAGCCAACAGAACAATTTGCGTTTAAATATGTCGCGCATCCACAAGGCTAAAATTTTGAAGATTTTTTCCCGATGGTCACCATCCAGGCCTGCTTTCCGTTCACCATATAAACAAAAATGTGCATTCCAGGGCACCCTTCTTAATTATCCTGGTCTATCGGAAGTCTACGAACGGACAGTTTCAGAGTCACCACTGCATTCAGGTACCATGCCATTTATACCAATTGGGAACCACGCAAATTGTGGCACTACAGTTTGTCATGCACTAATCTTCACCTTCTAACTTCCTACCCGATCAGATTTTAGGCTAATTTAAAATTAGAAAAAGATGCATTTGGTGTTATCCGGGTTCAGACAACGTACAGTTATATTTACCACGAATGGTAGACAATATGCGCATCCCAGGTTCTTGTTCTGACTGTGTGGGCGAAGTGTGTAATAGCACGCTGGAGGAAGGCCATGAGTTCGACTTCGCCAACACGCGGATATTGGCGCGAGCCAGCAACAAGACGGGCGAGAACTGTTGGAGGCGTGGGTGTCGGAAACCTACTCTATCAAGAGACATTGATTTGCCTGCGTGTTATCACGCCCTCCGCCCACGCAGCCAGGTGGCGCAGCTCATATCGCCGCGATGTACAAACGGCGGCGGACCATTGTGGACCAGGCGGCACAAACCAGACCTAGCCACGGACGTAGCCCCTCTCCCACACGGCACAACGATATAAATGCTCACACGTTGTTGCGCCCTAGTAGTTTCTGATGATGAACTCCAGTTCGAGTTCGAAAGCTAAGCCCAATAAATATACTGTCCCAGTGATCGTGCCTTCGCCTCCTCTTAAGTTATGTTTCTAAACTTACCACAGCAAAGTTGAACTGGCTGAGATGAGGCTTTTGTGCTGTGCCTCAATTCATCTTTTGTCTCTGCATAGAACTCAGATCTATGATGAACTCTTGGCTGGAATCGGCGTCACCATTAAAGTACTTTCTTGCTATGCGCCAGTTTGTCGTGAACTGTTTTGTGATTACGCGAATGCGGGTAGGAGTTGCGGCGAAGTGTTGCACTTCTAGTATTCTGCCGTTGACAGTATACTTACACAGGCTACTGAATGGTTTAGCGGTAGAGTGTCAATTTTTTAGAAAAAAACTCGTTCTTTCCTTACCAGGAGAGAGAGCAGGTGGTGGGCCGTTTACTCGTCCGAGCTGTTGGTGGCGCAGCAGCAATAACAGCCATGACCTTCGTTAATCGTTTTCCGACTGATCAAGTCTACGTCAACATCTGAAACTCTAGTCAATGTGGCTGGCTGGAGGCATGTTATAGTTCTAACTATTCTCCCCGATCATTGACGGACGGGGTTGGATCCACGATCCCCCTTTTCTATGCAGTTAGAGTATGGAGCCATTGTCCGTAGGCTGCGTTGAATGGTGTTCATTCATCCGGCCTGATGAGTGGCAGGAATAGAAAGGTCCGGCTTTGTTTTGGATCCACGGTCCGAAGTCTTTGTCAGAGGTCAACCCGCGAATTTCAATTAAAAGCTTTCCAATATGTGAGGACGACAGTGTGACCTTAATAGTCTGATTTTATCTACTTTTAGACAATCCGAGACGCAACTAGTCAAAACAGTCAACGGCGATAGTCACTCGGGGGCTGGCGAGCTACAAGGCGGTCATCGCTGCTCTCGGCAGGACCTACCTGCCGAACAAGGGTGAAGTGCGTGTGCCAGCTGCACTTTATTCTGGAGTGGCAGACTAAAGGCAGAACGACAAGACGGTGACACTGCCTTTAACATCCGTAACGGCATCGTAGAACGACTGCTAGTCCGCCACAGGGTGTCAGTGACAGTCTCATGAACCTGCGTCTGCTCTTTACGGGGGGCCAAATTCGCCATCATCATCAGTATTTACGACCTTCCCTCAATAACCAGCTCCGATGATACGAAAACCAAGTTATCTGGGAATCTGCACGCCCCCTAGAAACTGTGTCAAAGGTGGACAATTTGGTTGGACCTCATGTCTTCAATGCCTCTGTCGCAACAGACCAGGCTGCCTTGAGGAAGAAGGAGTGCTCAGTCGTCATGGCACGACCGGTTACAACGAGAATGGCCTCCTTCTCCTGCAGACCTGCGCTGAATACCGCCTCCTGCTGTCCAACACATTCTTCCGCCTGCCAATGGGAAAAAAAGGCCATCTGGATGCACCCCCGATCGCGGAGTTGTTCTCCTTCGGAGGAGCGATCGACAGGACCTGCTGATGATCAAGGCTATCTGCGACGCAGGTGGCTAGACCGACCACCGCAATGTCATCTCCAATATGTGTCTCCGATTGAGACATCACAGGTAAGCGAGCACCAGGTACGCTGGATACTGTTCTGTTGAATTTGTCGTCTCACCACGTCGATTTCAACATTCACATGACCCAGCACCTGCAACACCTGCAAACTCGAGATGCCGACATCACCATGGAGACACCGTGGTATCAACTGAGAAAATTTATCCAACGCCCTACATGTTTCCGGACGCGCACGGCACCAACACAAGGACTGGTTCGACGACAATGACGCAGATCTCAGCAAACTACTCGCAGAACAACAGACTGCACAATGTCTACATCGACCGACTGAACGACGCAAGCAAGGCGGTCTTTTTTCCGGTGTCGACACCTTGTGCGGGAATGACTGCGAGAAACAGAGGATGCCGGGATGGCTCGTAAAACCAAAGAAATCCAGGGGTGCGCCGACCTTGATAAAGCGAAGAAAATCTACCTTTCAAACAAGACCATCTAAAGCTCCACAGTCAAAGGAGCCACTGCACTTTTCAGCTCCGACGGAATAACATTCCTCACCGGTAAATAACAGATTATGTCCAGCACTGCCGAGTGTTTTAGAAGTCTCCCCAACTGCCCATTCGTAATATCCGACGCCGCCTCCGATCTGCTCCTTTAAGTGGAAACGAACGACGACCTGGACTTATTGCGCTCCCGTGCAACAACTCCCCAGTGGAAAAACACCGGGATCCGACATGACCCCGGTTGAATTCAACAAACTCGGCGACCCCTGTCTGAGAAAAAAACTTTGAATGCTTTTTCAGGATATGTGGCCTCGAGGACAAGTTCGTCAGACCTTCACGGGTGCGACAACCGTCCATCCTTACGGGCAAGACCGCCGACGTGACATTTTCCGTCCGCCAGCTGCAAGAGAAATGGAAGAAAGTGCGAACCCACCTCCGGTCTACGTTCGCGAACCTTGACACAGTAACCGCGATGGACTCTGGAAAATTATGCAGATATGCGGCTGTACTTCACGATTTGTGCATATGGTGCGTCAGCTCCATGAGGGTATGATGGCTAACAGCCCGGACAATGGAACCTTCACAGAAGCATTTAAAATGACCAGCAGAGCGAAACAAGTCTGCCCAAGACCACCACTAGCGCACCACAACGGCAACCGACTTGACATCTTCCAACCTATCCTGTCTACAGTGTCACTGCACATTCGTCTCACGCATCAGCCTGATCGGCCACTCGCGAAATCGTCGCTCATCAACTGACTAACCAGTGTCTTAAGTCCCCGCATACACTTTCCGCGCCCGCCTTTACTGTTCACGCACAGTCACTCACATCATCGGTCTCTTAGGTCATGATGGTTTTTATGAAAATCAATGGCAAGTCACCGCAGACATGACCACGTCATCACCTATTCCCCCATCGCCGCATACACCACACTAGAACATCTCCAACACCACATAGCACCGGCACTCCCCACGCAATTGAGATGCGTGCAATTCGGCTTCCAAACTCTCCATCCCCTTGTGTGTGTATGAAATCGTGGTGTGCATGGGGGCCAGGTCGCGTTGCAGCACGCGATGACGAGCTGTTATCAACCCTGTCAGCCGCCTCTCCCAGTCTCAACTTCAGTTATTTCATTGGTTCGCACGGTCGACTTATGCGTGCGATAGGTAGAGAGAATGAGATCGACGATCTCATAGCATATTCATAACTATAAACAGTTTGGCGAGCTCGAATCTATCAGGGTGCGTTAAAGGCTGTGGATTGAGTGGTTGCCAAATGACGCTCTAACTCAGACCACGCAGTCAGCGCAAATATTTCTTTGTCTGTGCGGAGTGTCGGACTAGGATGGCTCCTGCCTAATAATGCAGTCTCACACATGTGAGCTTCGAACCGCCCCCCACCCTTATGTGTGCAGTCCTGGTATGCATGTTTGAAGGTCCAGGTCGTGCACGTGGTGCGCGAAGACGTTTTCTAACCCTGTCAGATACTGCACCCAATCGCCGTATCAGACAACTGACCGGTTTGCACAGTGGACCGGTGCCTGATATTTAGAAGAGAGAGAGAGAGTGGATCGAAAGACTCAACACATAGTCCTCACTATAAAAATCTGGCGTGCTTAAATCTATCGTTATGCACTGAAGGTCATGGCTTGGCAGACTGCCTACTGATTGGATAACTCGGACCTCGGAGTCAGCCCAGTGGGTGTTAGTGTGGAGTGGCCAACTGGTGGACTGAGGGCCAGACTTTCATGACTCATTTTTAATGTGGCCTCTATGGCACTCCCACCCAGTGGGATCTGAGTTGCTCATTCTCCTTTTCTTATGTAAAATCTTGTTCAGTGTACGTCGTGGACCAGGAGGCGGGCTGACACTCCCCGGTGCGACTTTTCGTCGTGCTAGCCGCCTGCACCACTATCCGTCTTCAGTCTTCTTGACTCTGTCGTGACATCAGGACTGGGTGTGAAAGGAGTGTGTGCGTCTGACGCTGCGCAAGTCTACTATCATTGTAAACGAATTTACCCACAACTCACTGTCTCTGCCCTCATCTATCTGCGGAGAACACAGTGAGCGTCGTCGGTCACAACGGCCGAACTGACGGTATTACTTCGTATAGTTGATTACTTAAAACTATGAAACCGCTACCTATCACGTGAAATGGGTTGCCGAGTTGTCCACACCGCAGTAATTTGAACGGTCCCACCAGCCGGAGCTGCTGATCATTTATTCGCCTACTAACGCTAGTACTGTGTTTATTCTAGAGCAAGAAAATGTGTTCCGGAAATCAATTTCCTCATAACTTGAAGTTTCGGTATCATGTCAGGGCACATCATTAGAGTAAAACATTGTTTTCGGGTGGCGTATCATTTACAGCAGCTAGTTTTATAACTGGAAATTGACATACTCTGTAATGCAGTAGATTGTGTCCCACCCTACTTAAAATTCTTGCTTCCCGCCTCTTCACATTTACGGCTTTATCAAACATATACAAGGGATAAGTACTGACGGTCTTCAGGTTCCATAAACGCCTCCTTCGATTTGAGATGGCATCACTCAAAATCTGAATCGATTAAGATGAAACCTTTAAGTTATGCGATTACCTTTACCTTCAGAGCTAAAGTCGGTGCCACATTCAAAGTACACTCTTGATATGCGCCCGCTTGTTACAGACTGTCATGTAGGTACGTGAATGCGGGTAGAATTTACGATGATTCGATGCACTTTTGGTATGTTGTTGGCATTAGACCGGGCCCGATCACGCGTAAATTTAGCACAAAATGTTAACTTTTCAAAAAAAGAACTCTTTATTTATCAAAAGGTAGGCTGTTTTGGTGTCAAATCAGCTAGTTTTCTGAATTTCCCAGTTTGTATCAGAACACGAGTCAGCAATATGTGCGGGTGGGTGGGTGGACGATATTTTTATGACTATGCACCCCAGTGGGGTTCGCAGTAATAGTCCATTTGTCCGTTGAGGTCCGGTATGAAGTCCTTTAGGGAAACACAGAACAAGGAGGCCAGTTAATGCGCAAGAAGTAGCTCTGCCATTATTTATGTCAGCCTCGGTCGGTCAGACAGTAAACACTTGAGATTTTAGGTCTTTTTTGTCTGCTCACTCATCGACGAACTCTATCAGTTGAACTGTGGCCCTGACGTCTGTTAGCTGACCCTGGAAGTGTTTGACGTCAGCTTTGAACGGTGTTCATGCACGTGTCTTGCTTGCAGCAGTAGCGGGGGTCAGATTTGCCGAGCAACGTGGGGGGGAGGGGAGTTAGCATTCACAGTTCACTGTGCTGTGGATTTCGAGTATAAAGCCTTTGCAAGCGATCGCACACAGAGAAGGACAAGCAGTGACTGAAATGTATTACTACCGTTCGCGCCTTATTTGGCGTACTCAGTTAGCCATTCCGCAAGCACCAACCGGAAAAACCTGAAAGTTCAAGTCCCATCGAGTTGGCCACCCAAATTATCGCCCTAGAGCTTGAAACATAGACTTTCTGTCTTTTGATTTGCTATGCATTCCCACTCTGACAAACTAAACCCCCGGGAAATCCGTCAACTGGACTACATCTGTAGTGCACAGGCATAATGGCGACGTCGCGCCTCTCGCTTGCGCCTGCACCTACGTCCTAGCGACAGCCTGCTATGGCACGCACGTCTGCCCGGCTTCGATTTGTCTCGTTACAATTCACTGTCTGCAACACGCATTCGGTCGATTCTCCGCATGCACCATACGAGGCTTGTCACTACCCTCGCATGGTCTCGGATCCAATCAACGCAACCCCTCTTGCTGATTGGGTAAGACGAGCAGGACCAGGCCAGAACAATAACGTAAACAATCTGCAACGACACTTTTGCAGCGGCGACCTTCGGCGACATACGGCTCGTCGCTCTCGCGGACGCCGCCTCTGCGGCGCCGGACGCATCCTAGTCCAGTTGCTAACTTTTCTTCACCATTCTGTACAGAATAAATAAATCATCTTCTCTCATACTGGCGTACTGCTTCTAGCAACTTGGGATATGGCCTGAAGTTGTGGCGTACTGAGCGTACACCACCATCGCTTAGCCGCCACATTGACGGGTCACGGAATGAGGTGGCTGACGCACTGTCCAGGCCCTCCATCGTACATCTCCAACATCCTCCCGGGATCGACCTAGCTGAGATGGCCGCTGAACAGCGCTGTGTCGGTTAACCCTGTGATGAAGATGTTTCCGGACTTCAACTCTAGGACCTGCTACTGACAACAGGCAACGGCACCATTTCATGCGACGGCTCCACTCCTTCCCACCCTTGACACCATCCCTCCGCCGTAAAGTTTTTTCCTCCCTGCACGATCTCTCAGCCTGGGAGTCGAGCAAACGACAAGCTGGCTTCCGACCGCTTCGTCTGGCCTGGGATGCACAAAAACCTCAAAGCATGGACACGGACTTGTATCCCCTGTCAACGTAGTAAGATCCAGCGGCACAACAAGGCCCCCATTTGCACCTTCCCCGACCCTGGTTCAAGGTTCGGCCACGTTCGCCTGGACATTGTGGGCCTCCTGCCTCTGTCCAATGGTTGTTCCTATCTTCTTACCTGTGTGGATCGGTTCTCTCGATGGCTTGAAGCGATTCCCCTGCCTGACATTGCTGCTCAAACGGTGGTCAAGACTTTTCTCTGTCGTTGGGTTGCTATCTTTGGTGCACCCTCCAAAATCACGACTGACCGTGGTGCCCATTTCGAGTCTAACCTCTTCCAGTCTTTACTCTCTTTTTTAAGCTGCACCCGAATCCGGACAACAGCCTATCACCCGGCTGCCAACGGGATGGTCGAGCGGTTTCACCGCCAGCTGAAGAACTGGAGAACTGGACGGACCACCATTCCCTGGTCCTCTTGGGCGTCCGCTCCGCTCTCAAGCCGGACCTTAACTGTTCCGCAGCTGAAGTGGTGTTCGGCGCCACCGTCCGACTCCCCGGTGAGATGATCTGGCCAACCCCGCGAGGTGCAGTTGAGGATCCTAACAACCTCCTGCATCGCCTCCGGCAGTTAATGTGGAAACTTTCTCCGGTTCCTTCCAGGTCTTCCGCCTCTCCGTCTTATCTCGAGAAGGACTTGGCAACATGCTCTCACGTCTACCTTCGATGTGATTGAGTCCGCCGGCCTCCGGAACTGCCCTATGACGGCCCATTCCGGGTGCTCTCTCGCGGGCCGAAGGCTTTCCGCATTCAGCGCGACAATCGTGAAGAGGTCGTGAATGTGGACCGCCTCAAGGCTGCCGTCCCTGACACTCCTCCGGATGAGCCCTGTGGGCCTCTACCTTCTGTTTCTCTCCATGCAGCCGCTATTCCACCGTCCCGTATTTGCTCTCTGTCCTCCAGTCCGCTACCTCCGACTGCCACCACCAACTCCAACACTTCCGCCACCAGATGTATTCACTCTTCTACGGACCCTGTATATATCACTTGCAGTGGTCGTCATGTACACTTTCCTGATCGGTTGGTCACTCATTCATTTTAGACCTGTACACATCCTTTGGCGTCGTTTTCGCCGCCCTCCGGTCTCGGAGGGGGTACTGTGCCAGACTGTCTTGCCTTTCCCTACCTGTTCCTCATTCTTGAACTTACTGGTTGTTTAACTGAATGGAAGGAACACAACGCTACGCGACGCGCTTGGCATGTGTTGGATTGTCAGGTCGTTTGACTTTTGATTGTTAATTCTTTCATAACTCTGGTCTTATCCTGATATCCATGGTCTGGGATTGACGGTTCTAAGTTTAGCGCTCGCGACAAGTCCTTCGGTCTCATGAATTGGCCTCTGACGGTTGCTTCCGGCCTGTTTACAACCCCAAATCCATGTGGAGTGAGAAGACGACTGGCGGCCTCCGAGACGTTCTTTATGTACGTGAGAGCCCGCCAAAATTTGGGGCCGGTTGGATTTGGTCTCTGGTGTCGTTTTCGCATGCGATGTTTAAAAAAATTGCGCAGGTAGCCATTGGCTCTCATTACTCGTCAAAGATATTGTAATTCAGCAACCTTGTCTTCCATTTCACTGTAATGCATCTCAACGCGCCGGTATAGCGCCCTTACGCAACTGCCTTTTTGACTGATCGAGTGGCTGCTATTGGAATGCAGTATTTGCGTCGTATTTGTCGCTTTCCTGAGAACTTTGGTTTTTAGGCCACCACAATCTTTGCAGCAGACGAGTACATCCAGGAAAGAACAGTTAATTGTTTTCTTCCTCTTTTATCGTAAACTGACTGTACGGGAAGACGGCTGTGAGACGTTCTTTTAATTCTAAAACCTGATCCCGTTCGATGATGACGAGGGAATCATCCACATACCGAGGTCGAATCTTTCGTGCGTTAGAGTTGCAGCGGATCCACGTGCAGGAGCCAATTGCACGGACACAGCTATGTTTGCAGACGATCTGAAAATTTGGAGAGCGACAAAAGATGAAGATGACATCAAGACACTACAAGAGGACGTAGAGAATTTGCACGGATGGAGCGAGAAATTGTGCATAAAATTCAACGTCAAAATGTGCAGTAATGTACGAAGTATCAACGAGACGAAGAACAAATGCGCCCTCACGACAGTATCTCCTGGACAATCAACCACTTAAAATCGTAGGTGTGCAAAAGGATCTCGGTGTATTCATTAAAGACGATCTAAACGTCATCAGTGTTCTAAAGTCGCTGCGCGGGCAATGTTAATCATGAACGCGATAGGCAGAACGTTTATTCACTTGAATACAGATGTCTTTGGCAACATATATGGGAGAATCCTGTGGCCGCACACGGAATATGCGATACAGGCTTGGCGGCCGTGGCTTCGGAGGGATGTATATATCCTTGAATGTGTACGTGCCACAAAGGCCGTTCATGACCTCAAAAACTGTACGTTCTAGCAGCGCCTGACTGCCTTAAACCTCTATCCCCTCCACTACAGGCGGGACAAAGTTGACCTCGTAGCAACGTTCTAGTTGCTAAGAGGATTTAATCTGGACGTCGACTGGGAAAAATTGTTTTAACTTGAACCCAAGTCTAATCTCAGACGACGTGATTACCAACTTAAAAGGGAACAAAGTCACACCAACCAACGTTCCTTCTTTTTCTCGCAGGGGGTCGTTCGCCAATGGAACTGTTTGCCGGAGTATGTTGTTAATTCCCCTAGCGTGTGTTCAAGAGACAATTAGGTACGCACCTGCTGAAAGGCAACCCGAACTGTCAACGCCTGATTTAACGGATTACTAAAATGACTATAATATACTACTAACACGATTTCAATAGATCCTTTTCTGTGCGCCAAACTTGAACGCTATCCTTCAGGTCCGTCAATCCCAGGAAGTTGGATATGCTTGTAGATCTTTGTAACGTCCACTTGTCACGCTCGTTGGCGCGCATCCCAGGCGACATTACCGTAAAATTTTGTCGCCAATCCTCACGAGTCGTCGATGTTTCATTTCTATGATTGCCTCAGGATGGCTTTGATGTTGACTTACGTGTAGGGAATTCTCTCTTGCCGTCCAGCTTTAGTGTTCTCCGAAGAAAGTTGAGTTTGAAATGCTTGACTTTCGTGCCTTAATGGGCGAAGACGGTCCACATCTGCATCCCTTATAGTAACGTTGTCAGGACTGTGTGATCGCCGCCCCGGCAGGAGATGTCGACCGTTGTCTACCGACTTCAATGCAGCTGCGGAAGTTGTGACTACGTTGGGGAAACCGGCCGACGGCTGCAAACGCGAATGCACGAGCATAAGTTGGCCGTGCGAAGGTTGGACCCAAAGTCGGAGGTAGCAACCCATGCCGCGCAAATGGGACACATCTTCAACTTTGACGCCGTTGAGCTTGTGGGCCGGGGCGGCGATCACAAAGCAAGGCAAGTGCAAGAAGCCTGGATGTCCACCGACTGCTCTGTCAACCGCCACATCAATTTGCCTCCCCCTTATCTGACTTTACGAACCTTCTTAGCGAGGACAGTCACGTCGCGGGACAATCGGGGCCGTCAGTCATCACCGCGGCCGACGGGGGCGATTCAGGTCACGGTGACATGCGGGTTGGATGCAGCCACACAGGCGGCATTGGCGGATCACGCATTGGACAAAGGGCGCCATAATAAGGAGTGCTGTGCACAGGACCTCACAGTCCCTGAAGATGGGTAGAGGAGTAAACTACCCGAAACGTCGGATATCAAATAAATCCCTCCCGGTGAACGCCCACTCTTCTTTTGATATGCCACCTGGGAATCGGATTTTCACTACTATTGACAGTTCTAGTCTGCCTGAGTGGCGTATCGAGAAGATGTCCGTCATTCCTATAGACGAAACTGATTCCAGGGCGCCCATCAGGGTAAGCGTCCGTCAGCATTCATAAGCCCCTGGACACGACTGTAACGCCACTTCTTTGCCAGAAGGTGTTGCAAATGTGTCTGACACAGGCATTCAACGTTTAATGATACGCCACGGGTACGATGGCCTTGAGATGGGAAGATCTGAATGGTTTCAGGCCTGCTGACGTCTGCATTTGTAAATCATCTTCTACAGACGCAAAAAGGATCAAATACAGCCACGCAGAAATGAAGCTGAGTGCCGTTATTCTGTGTTCGCACCCACTGCATAATCTGAAAACGTAAGTAGTGGTCAAAATGTCACCCGAACATATGCTGACTCAATTAATGGTTAAGTTGCCAGTTTAAAGGTAATACGTGGATTATAGATTGTGGCAAAGTAGTGAATGGGTCATTTCGGCGAATAATGAGGAGGAAGAATATGATTCATCCTTGAATTATTTTTGTTTTTTGTTATATTCTGAAAAAAGGATTTGCATAACTCGACCATCCACGAAGCTTAAAAAATGAATAAAACAATATAATTCCTGAAATTGGTATCTTAATCCACAGTTGATATTCTTTTATCAAACTGGGAATGAACTACAGCATAGATAAACACCTGTCTAACTTTTTTCCAGCGTGAAAGCGCAGGCAGATCTTCGTCTAAATTTGAGCAAAACTGAAGTCCAAAACTCTCATTTGATACCCACCGTTAATGCATTTAAACTAGATTGTGGTGCTTTTGATAACTTCAATGTGGGCAAATTTCCTCTACTATTGGCGATTTCTTTGAAAGTAAAATCCCGACGCTTGCTTTTCAGCAATGTGAGAAAATCATACCCTTCATCGATCTTGCCTTAGTATACCGATGACAGTCAGAAAGTTAGTTTTTGACCCGGATCTGTTACTGCCTCTGATGATGGGTTTAAGCAGGAATCCGAGATGTTAGGCGAATAAGGTTCTTGTCCTATCGATCGTGCCTCCTTCTTCGCGATGTCTTAATCCTCTCAGCGTTGTTCGACGTTATGACTTATCTACTGACGCTATTCAATCACGTCACTGTCCTCTATGAATCAGTACAGCTTGATGCTAACTGAACAATATCGTTGACATATTCGGAGCCATCAGCCGCTGCACGGATGCAAAGTTGAAACCGTCAAAGCATTCTCGAAGATTCAACCAATGATGCCATTCTACAGGGCGGCAGAATGCCACCTTGTTAAACGAATGCAGGTACTTGCCGTGGACGAGAAATCACTCCGTGGTGAACTTGTCGTAGGCCCCGACCACAGCGACTATTTTTGCCCGTAAGACATTAATAACGTCATATAACTTGTAATCTAATTAGGAGGCATCAGAATTTTCACTGATTAAATCCTCCAGCCCTACAAAATGGACGTTCTAACAACTTCCTTATTTCAAATCATTGATCTGTGTTTAAAAACCATTTTTTTTCATTTAAACGCTAATACTACCAGCAAATAAAAGAGCTCTTGCTTATGACTTTGTTGCTAAGGTGAAGATTTAGGAACCCAAAGCTGAGGCTCTTCCGTGAGCTTATCCTACGTTGTAAACGACGCGTTTGTTGATGTAACGGAAGATCAACCGGAAACACTTCACAACGCCATCAGCTCAGTAACTCAAGGAATTAATTTACTTTCGAAAAGGAAGTTGCCAATGAACTCCCCTTGTTAGATATGTTCGTTCATAGAAGAATTAATGTGGTGTTACTAACATCCACTTAGCGAATTGAAACGCGTGCGAAAGTCATGCTAGACGATGCGAGAAACTACCATATTTCTCAAAATCCGAGTGTTGCCAACAA